CGAGCTTAGGCGAGACTTGCCAGGCTTTCGCCCTAAAGAGGTCGTCGCCTAGCTCCGCGAGCTTAGGCGAGACTATCAGGTCATCACCCTTAAACACATCACACAAGAAGAGAGTTAAGCTGAAAAACTTCAAATGCAACTTTATTATTCGTCTGACGAAAACATAATTAAATAACAACCTAAAACAAGGAAAGATAACATCTCTCTAACTATGCATAATATTTCTTCAAGTGGGATATGTTCCACGGTCGGGGTAGTAGCCGCCCCTCAACATCACGAAGCTCATAGGCGCCCCCCGCGAATACTCTGTCAACAGTATAGGGGCCCTCCCAATTCGGTTCCAACTTCCCAACATGCTTTAGGGCATCAGCTTGGCGCCAGACCAGGTCCCCCACTTGGAATCGACGAGCTCGAATTGACTTGTCATGTGCCGCACTCATCCGCTGCTTGTAAACCGTCGTCCTTAATCCCGCCTGGTCACGTAGCTCATCCACCAGGTCCAGGGCTTCCCTTCAAAGCTCCACGTTTCCTTCTTCCGTGTAGGTACTCACCCGCTCTTAGTTGAGGCCGATCTCCACCGGGATGACCGCCTCCATGCCATATACTAGACTAAACGGCGTCTCCCCCGTTGAGATCCTTGGTGTCGTCTGATATGACCACAACACGGAATCAAGCTCATCCACCCAAGCACCTGAGGCTCTCTCCAATCTTGCCTTCAACCCATTTAGAGTCGATCTGTTCGCGACCTCGGCCTGCCCATTCGCTTGGGGGTGGACGACCGAGGAGAACTGCTGTTTGATGCCCATCTCCTCGCACCAACTCATCATACGCCGACCTCTAAACTGGGTGCCATTATCAGATATAAGCACTCGAGGGATGCCGTACCGACAACATATGTTGTTGAAAAGAAACTTCATTACCCTTTCTTCTGTGATTGTTGCTAAGGGCTCGGCCTCAATCCACTTAGAAAAGTAGTCCACTGCCACAATGAGGAACTTTCGCTGGCCCGTCGCCTGGGGCAAAGGTCCGACTATGTCGACCCCCCACTGAGTAAAAGGTAGAGGCGAGCTAATCGGAACCATGTTCTCAGCCGCTTTATGTATCAATGGACCATGCTGCTGACACCTCTTACATTTGCGCACAAGGTCCTGTGCCATCGTCCTCATCTTAGGCCAGAAGTATCGGGCCCGGAGTACCTTCCCGACCAACGCCCTAGCCTTCAAGTGATCACCACAGCATCCTTCATGTACCTCCCTTAGCATGCACTCTCCGTCCTGCTCCGAGACACACCTTAGATGGGGCCCTATGTACGATCGCTTATATAAGATCCCATTCTGCAAATAGAACCTCAATGCCCTCCTTCCAACCGGGTCGTCCCTGATATCCTTTCCAACCACCGGCTCTCGCAACCACTGTATTAGGGGCGACCTCCAATCCTCTTGCTCTTCAACCTCTAGCACTTGGTCTAAAATACTTCTGGTCATATCCATCAATGTCACCGACCGAGATCGACAATCCACAAGCGATGCGGCCACCTTCGAGAGTAGGTCGGCCCTACCATTTTCCCCCCGCGGTATCTGTATCAATTCCCAAGTCGCGAATCCTTTTAACATCGCATAGACCTCCACCAGGTACTTCTTCATGCGCTCCTCCTTAGCTTCATACTCGCCTCTGACCTGTTCGACCACCAGCTGAGAGTCCGAATGAATGATTACTTGTCGGGCTCCTTCCTTCAAAACGAGTTGGATCCCCTTGATGAGGGCTTCGTACTCTGCTTCATTATTCGACACCCTGAACGAGAGTTTCACCGCGAACTCCAAATGATCCTTCTCGGGCGTGACCACCAAGATGTCGAGACCCGCTCCTCCTACGACCGACGAGCCATCGACATACACCATCCATGGTCCCTTCTCATCTCCCAGTGTGCATTCTTGTATAAAATCGGCTAACGCCTGCGCCTTGATAGTTTTTCGGACCTCGAAGTCAACATTGTATTCGCCTAACTCCACTGCCCACTTCACCATCCTTCCCGAGGCCGAAGGACGACCCATAGTATCCTTGAGTGGGTAGTTAGTTCGCACCATGACTTTATGCGCTAGGAAGTAGGGGCGCAACTTTCGAGCAGTGGAGATGAGTGTCAAGGCAGCCTTCTCCACATCTGAGTATCGGCGCTCAGCCCCTTGCAATATCCGACTTGCGTAATATATTGGTTTCTGCTGCCCATGTTCCTCCTTTATCAATACAGAACTGATGGCCTCGTGACCCACTGATAAGTATACAACTAGAGTGTCGCCAGGCTCCGACTTTGTAAGTAGGGGGAGCTCGGCCAAGAATTCTTTCAACCTCTCGAATGCATGTTGCGCCTGAGACGTCCACTCGAACCGCGACCCCTTCTTTAATGCCTTAAAAAATGGAAAACTCTTTTCGGCGGATTGAGCGATGAACCTGCTCAACCCCGCTAGGCGCCCGGTCAAAATCTGCACCTCTCTTAAGTTCCTTGGTGGCTGCATTTCGATGACGGCTCGCACCTTCTCTGGGTTGACTTCGATGCCCCTCTCCGTCACCAGATACCCCAAGAATTTACCCGAGCGCATTCCGAACTTACACTTGGTCGGGTTGAGCTTCATGCCATATAGTCGCAAAGTGTTCAATGTCTCACGCAAGTCCATCACATGATCATCCGCATTCTTGCTCTTCACTAGCATGTCATCGACATAGACCTCCATGTTCCGCCCTATTTGCCCTTTGAACATCTTATCCACCAACCGCTGATAAGTAGCTCCCGCATTTTTCAATCCAAAAGGCATGAAAACGTAGCAGTAGGTACCCTTGGATGTCACAAAGCTAACCCTCTTTTGGTCCTCCACGGCCAGGGGGATCTGGTGGTACCCCTGGGAGGCGTCCATCATGCTCAACAACTCGCATCCATCCGTAGAGTCGACGAGCTGGTCAATACGTGGTAGGGGGTAGTGATCTTTTGGGCAAGCTTTGTTGAGATCCCTGAAGTCGATACACATCCTCCACTTTCCTTCCCCCTTACGCACCATAACTGAGTTGGACAACCACTCCGGGAACTGAATAGGTTGTACATGCCCCGCCTTCAACAACTTCTCCGCTTCTGCCTCAATGACCACGTCTAACTCAACACCAAAGTGCCTCCTCTTCTGTTTTACCGGTCTCACAGTTGGGTCAATGTTCAAACTATGCTCCGCCACCCCGGGGTCGATCCCTGTGAGGTCGTCAGCTGAAAAGGCGAAAACATCCACAAACTCCTTCAATAGCGCAATCAACGCGCCTTGCAGATCCACCGCCAAGTGACGTCCTACCTTTGTTGTATTTTCCGGATTACCTTCTATCAGTTCGACTTCCATCAGTTCGTCCTGGGAGCTAATTCCCAACTCTTGCTTCTTCTCCCGACGGGAGCACTCCGGCAGGTTGTCATTCTTCCTCTTATGCTGCGCCTCGGCCGTCTTCAATGTGACATCATAGCACCGCCGAGACTGCAATTGGTCTCCAGTCACTTCCCCAACCTCATCCCCCACGGGGAACTTGATCTTCATGCAATAAGTAGAAACAGCTGCTTGGAATGAATTCAGGCTAGGCCGACCCAGTATGATGTTGTAGGCCGAACTAGCATCCACGACCAAGAAGCAGACCATCTTTACCTTTCTCAAGGGCGACCTCCCCAATGCCACAGTCAAACTAACTTCACCCACGGGGCGGACCTCACTACCGCTGAAGCCGTAGAGGGCAGTGTGGACCGGCTCGACCTTCACATCTAACTCCATCTGCTGTAAGCAGTTCAGGAAAATGATATCCGCCGAGCTCCCCGTGTCTATCAGTACCCTCTGCACATCATAACTGGCATCTTCCGCAGTGATAACCAAGGCATCATTGTGTGGGACGACAAGCCCCTGTACATCGTCAGCTCCAAACTTCAAAGTGGCCAAGCTCCTTTACGCCTGTACCTCAGCAACCTCATCTGCCACACCCTTACCCCGGTAAGTCCTCTTCCTTTCTCTATGTGAGTCTCCATCGGTAGGACCTCCCGCGATCATGTGTATGACACCTTTCTTCACTGGTCTATCAGGCTGCTCATCAGTCCTCCGCCGCTTTTCACCTGACTCACGCCCTTCTCGATGATCATCCTGGCGCTCTCTATCCTTGATCACAAACTCCTTTAAGTGACCGGCCCTAATGAGCCGCTCAATTTCGTCCTTCAACTCCCGACAGAAATTGGTAGAGTGACCGAAATCACGGTGGTACCGACAATACCTGTCCTTCGATGCCGAAAACTTCCGCGGTGGGGGCAAAGGTTTTGGTTGTGCGAGCAGCTTGTCCTCCCCTCGCTTTTCTATCGTCTCCAAGATCTCCTGTTGCGGCGTATTAAGTTTTCTATAATGCTCGTATCTCGGACCCCTGAACCGATCCTCAACCCTAGACTCCTTAGGGGCGGTTCGTCGATCACCCTGTCGAGGCTTCTCCTCTACCTGCTTAATCTTTGTCTTGTCACTTCGAAGGAAATCCGCCTCTGATTCCTCCATATTCACATACTTGCTGCACCTCTAAAGTAGCTCATCAAAGGACCTCGCCGGCCTCTTCGCCAAGGAATCTCTACAATTCCCAGGCCTCAATCCCCGCGTAAGGCCTCCAGCTTTTATCTCTTCTGAGGCCGAGGGGACCTCCACGCACTCCTTAGTGTACCGCGCTACATACTGTCGCAAGGTCTCCCCTTCCTTCTGCTGCATATTGATCAACGAAAGGTACGTCTTCTCATGTTTCCTGGCGCTCGCAAACTGATTCAGAAACAAAGAGCTGAACTTTTCAAAGCAATCGATAGATCCCGCCGGCAACTGGTGGAACCAATCTTGTGTCGACCCCTTCAAAGTCATCAAAAAGGCCCGACAGCTCACGACATCACTATACCTGTGCAGCACGGCTATGTTGTCAAACGATCTCAAGTGCCTAGCTGGGTCCGCCGACCCATCATATGACAAACTCAACTCCCTGAAGTTGCTAGGCAAGTCTCCTCCCAAGACCTCCTCTGCAAAAGGGTGTCCTCGCGAGACTACAGGTCTCTTACCCTGCACCCGAGCTTGGAGTTCCCGCATTTGAGCTGCCAACCTCTCCAAAGTTAACCTTTCTGGTTGCTCCGTTGCCATCGGGCGGGAGAAAACTGACCTAGCATCCTCCTCGTCACCCCTCTTCCCGCGTTGGTGCTGCTGTTGCAAGGGGGTTTGTTGTTGAGGTGTTGGCGGCTGTCGCGGCGGAGGTTGTTTAAACGTCTCGTTAGGGGCTCTCTTATCCACCTCTTGAGCCCAACCTATTGCCTCCGCAATGATTCTATCCAACTCCGACCTGGTCATCTGGATAACCGGGTCCTCCCGTGGTGTCGAAGAAACATAATCCCCTGGAGGGTTTTGTGCTCCTACCATGACCAACTGCCTACTCCCAAGGGCACCACTCTGATCACCAGCACCCCCAGATCCTAAAACACCTTGATTTGCCCCGCAATCAACCGTGGTACCAGCCTCCTTCGCTTTGTCCGCCACACCACCAGATCCTCCCGAGTTCGCCGCGCGTTTCTGAGCTTCTGATGGTGATATCGGGGTCACGCCCGGGCCCAACAAAGTCTCTTTGGGGGTGACAGGCGATGATGACCAGCCCGGCGGGGGACCTGCCCCGAAGGCCCTCCGAGCCCACTCCTCATCCATCTCCTTAGTCAAGTTCTTCTTCGAGTTATCTCCTGCCATGACTTCTATCGTTCTTCTTTTGTAGTGAGAAAAACAGCCTTTAAAACTCCGGGTAGAAGACTGAGTGTCCCCACAGACGGCGCCAATTTGTTATACCACAAATACTCGAACCGTTGGACCGCTCCTCTCGAACCGGGTTGTGTCTCCTTGATCGTCGGTACCTGCAAAGCACGCCGGGGGTGGTCCCGGCGCGAACACTCCGACGCTCAAGTCAGTGATGGTCTAGAGAGAAAACAGCAGAGTAACGAGATAGTTCGTGAATGTGTGTTGTGTAAAATGAATGAACCTGCTCCCTTTTATAGGAGAGAATTTGGAGAGTCCCAGTAGGATAAGAAGTCTTTCTTGTGTGAACTACTTAATTAGGTCAAGAATATCCTGTATTGCAGGAATCCTTGTTGTTACCAACCTCTTCGTAACTTGATCTCGAAGCCACCTTCGAGTTCTAGCTCCTTCGACGGCATACGAGGGTCGCCGAACACACGAAGACCGCCGATCGCAAGAGGGCTGCCGAGCACCTCCCAAGGCCGAGCACCCGCTGGGGGCCTCGCGCCGAGCACTTGCCCATGCCGGGCACTCGCCATACCGGACGATGCCACGCCAGACACTCCATCCCGACCATCTTCAATGTCGAGCGCTTGAGGGACGCCGAACACCATGCGATGCCGAGCACTCCCAACCACCCGACTTCTATAACGCTTAGCCGGTCCCCTCCATATTGTCACTGATGACCGGATCACAACCGGTTCCTTATGAACCACTACTATCGACCACATCAGCAACAATACTTTGATTTCACTTTCGATGCGTGGGAGGCGGCCGTGGCCAAACTGGAATTTTCCGGCAAGCTCGACCGCGAGGCGGTGAAAAGAACACTTCCCCTCCCCGACGGTTTTTACAGCGATGCGACTCTCCCTTCTGATCATGCATGGTGGATCGGCCTTGAAGCAAAAGCCATCCATATGGCTGGAATTTCATCCTAACTCGAGGTCCCTCCTTCTCCTTTGTCCGGTCCGACCGAATTATTCGGGGCGAGTGGAGCCGATCATGAGGAGGAAGACAAGGAAGGCGATGAAAAGATAGAAGTTGAGCGCCCCTGGACCGAGCCAATTGCTGAAGAAGAGCCCGCCAGGACCGAGCCAAATGTCGAGGAGGAGGATGTGAGGACTGAGCCTAACGCTGACGGGGATGGGGATGTTGCCGAGGAGTCGACCGTCGACTCTCAGAAACAGTAGGTGTTTGATCGATGGCTTTGTTTGTTATTTGTTTCTTTTGGAGTTGTAATGGTCGTGGGGCCAGTTGTTTTTGTTGTGCTTTTCCTTTCGTCCCGACCTACTCCGGGCCATTTTTGTAATAGGTCGAGACGACTTATCATGTAATTAATTTTCGATGTTTATGCAAGGTACCTTTCTATCCTCTTGGCTGCTTATGTTTTCATTTTTTTTCAAACTATTCTTGGTTACTGTGAATGCTTTTCGATGCTTGTGCTGATGCTTTTTAATTGCGCTGTATTTTTCAAGTTTTTTCACTTGTCATATATGTCTTCTCCCAACCCGGCCTGCGAGCTGGTCGAAGACGAGCAACACTTTTAGCAGCTTCGCAGCTGGTAAACTGAAATTTTTCAACTCATCTTCTCCCAACCCGGCCTGCGAGCTGGTCGAAGACGAGCAACGCTTTTAGCAGCTTCGCAGCTGGTAAACTAAAATTTTTCAACTCGTCTTCTCCCAACCCGGCTTGCGAGCTGGTCGAAGAAGAGCAACGCTTTTAGCAGCTTCGCAGCTGGTAAGCTAAAATTTTTCAACTCGTCTTCTTCCAACCCGGCCTGCGAGCTAGTCGAAGACGAGCAACGCTTTTAGCCAGGATTCTATTCGGGGCACAACTTCATAGTCATATTACGTGACTTCGTAGCCATAAGCTTTGTAGCTTAGTCGAGATTCCACTCGAGTACAACATTGTAACTATTTTAGGTCGACTTCGTAGTCGTAAGCTTCATAGCTTAGTCGAGATTCCACTCAAATAAAACTTCGTAGTTGTTTTGGGTCGACTTCGTAGTCGTAAGCTTCGTAGCTTAGTCGAGATTCCACTTGAATACAACTTCGTAGTTGTTTTGGGTCGACTTCATAAGCTTCGTAGCTTAGTCGAGATTCCACTCGAATACAACTTCGTAGTTGTTTTGGGTCGACTTCGTAGTCGTAAGCATTGTAGCTTAGTCGAGATTCCACTCGAGTACAACTTCGTAGTTGTTTTAGGTCGACTTTGTAGTCGCTAGGGTTGGGCGGCTCCATAGCCGTTTTGAAAAATTCGATTTTCAAGTAATCATAATAATAGTGACCTGGAATAGTAAAAGACACAGTTGAAACGTAAACTAAAATTCATTGCATTACTGAATTTGATTAAGCCTTGCTCAGTACAAAAGAGTTCAAAATATTGCCTCAAGCATAAAAGCGTTTGAGATGGATCACGTGCCAAGATCGCGGCAGATGTCGTCCTTCGCCATCCTCGAGTTCGTATGCACCTCTCTCGAGCACCTTTTTGATTGTGTAGGGTCCTTCCCAGTTAGCCTCACGTTTCCCGACATGTTTGAGAGCGTCTGCTCGTTTGAGGACAAGATCTCCCACTTGAAATCGTCTAGTTCGGACTTTTTTGTCGAAAGCGGCACGCATTTTCTGTTTGTAGTCTACTAATCGCACCCAAGCTTCTTCTCGCCCTTCTTCGATTAGATCAAGGGCTTCCTCAATCATTTCCTTATTCTTCTTTTCCTTGTAAAATGTCGACCTGTGGGAGCTCAAGCCAACTTCAATTAGCAAAAGGGCGTCCATTCCGTAGACCATATGAAATAAAGATTGACCCGTCGAGCTCCTTGGAGTCGTCCTGTAAGCCCACAAGACTGTTGTTAATTCGTCGACCCAGGCGCCCGACGCCTTCTCCAACCTCTTCTTCAACCCTTGGAGGATGGTCCGATTAGTCACCTCGACTTGGCCATTTGCCTGGGGGTGTGCGATCGAGGCAAATCTCTGCTTGGTTCCCATGTCGAGACACCATGTTTGAATTAGCTGTCCTTGGAATTGGGTTCCGTTGTCTGAGGTCAATACTTTTGGGATTCCAAATCGACAGCAAACATTCTTGAACAGAAATTGTATCATCTTTTCTTCAGTGATCTTTGCCAAAGGTTCTGCTTCGACCCACTTGCTGAAGTAGTCGACGACGACTACAAGAAACTTCCCCTGCCCCGCCCCCATTGGCAGTGGGCCTACTAAGTCGATTCCCCATTGAGCGAAAGGGATTTGAGTGTTGATTGTCGTTATATATTCAGCTGGGATGTGGGTGATTTGCCCATGGCGTTGGCACTTTTCGCACTTTTGAACTAACTGCTCCGCCATTGCTCAAATTTTAGGCCAATAGTAGCCTGCTCGCAGAGCTTTTCCAGCTAGAGCTCGAGACCTTATGTGCGCTCCACAACACCCCTTGTGAATCTCTCTTAAGACTTGAATTCCTTCTTCTTCAGAAACACATTGCAGGTGAGGCCCAACCATCGACTTTTTATACAGGACCCCTTCGACTTCAAAGTATTTGCTCAAATATCGAGTGACTTTTTCTGCTTCATGCCTGTCGCCTGCGGGTATTCGTCCTTGCAAGAGCTTGCGGATCGACTCCCTCCAATCCTCCTTCTCGTCGACCTCCATTGTTTCGCTCAACACACTTCCTTCCAGATGCATCATAGTTATGTGACCTCCCACTTTTTCTTCAATGGAACTTGCAATCCTCGCGAGCCAGTCGGCTCGCCTGTTCTCCTCCCGTGGCACTTGTGTTAACTCGAATATTTCCAGTCTATCTTCCTTGATTTCACAATTTCCTGACACTTGTCCTACAACAAGTTGCGAGTCGGAATGTGCCACGATTTCTGTAGCTCCTCCGCCCATGGCGAGTTGGATCCCCTTGATTAGTGCCTTATATTCTGCCTCGTTATTCGAAGCCTTAAACCCCAGCCTGATAGCAAAGTTGAGTTGTTCGCCTTCGGGGGACACGAGGACAACCCCCAATCCAGATCCTTTGGCTGCTGAGGATCTGTCGACATGTATGATCCATTTCTTTTCTTCTCCTTTGGTGCCTTCTTGGATAAAATCGCCTAAGGCTTGGGCCTTTATGGCTCGTCTCGGCTCGTACTTGATGGAATATTCGCTTAACTCGACCGCCCACTTCACGAGTCGACCTGAGACAGTAGGTCAACCCAGAGTTTCTCCCAGTTGTAAATTTGTCCTCACCACTACTACGTGATTCAGAAAATATGGTCTTAATTTTCGAGTCGTTATCACTAATGTCAAGGCAGCTTTCTCGACTTCAGAGTATCTCGTCTCCGCACCTTGGAGTACTCGACTGGTGTAGTAAATCGGCTGTTGGACACCTCCTTCCTCTCGCAATAACACTGAGCTTAATGACACTGACCCCAGAGATATGTACAGCACAAACTCATCGTTGGGCTCAGGTTTTGTCAATAAAGGCAACTCGCCCAAAAACTCTTTAAATTTTTCGAACGCCATCTATGCTTCGTCACTCCATAAAAAGGTCGACTTCTTTTTGAGCAATTTGAAAAATGAGAAGCTCTTCTCTGCAGCTCGAGCAATGAATCTGCTTAGTCCCGCAATCTTTCTCGTCAGGACCTGCGCTTCTCTTATATTCCTTGGTGGAGCCATGTCGAGTATGGCTTTCACCTTGTCTCTGTTTACTTCAATTCCTAAATCAGTGACGATATATCCCAAGAATCGACCTGCCTTTAATCCAAAGGCACATTTGCTTGGGTTCAGCTTCATCCCAAAAGCTTTAAGGGTTTTGAATGTCTCCCTTAAATCGTCTGGATGTGAAGTCGAAGACTTGCTTTTCACCAAAATGTCATCCACATATACTTTAATATTTCGCCTGATCTGAGATTTAAACATTCGGTCCATCAATTGTTGGTAGGTTGCTCTTGCAATTTTTTAGTCCAAAGGGCATGACGATATAACAGTACGTCCCTTTGCTCGTCACAAAGCTCACTTTACTTTGGTCCTCGGGGGCCAAAGGGATCTGATGATACCCCTGGGATGCGTCCATCATACTTAGCAGTTCGCAACCAGCCGTGGAGTCGACTAACTGATCAATTCCTGGCAATGGGTAATGATCTTTGGGGCACGCCATGTTTAAGTCACAAAAGTCAATGCACATGCACCATTTGTTTAGTGCCTTCCTTACCATCACGGTGTTGGATATCCATTCGGGGAATTGGATTTCTTTGACATGTCCTGCTCGCAGCAACTTATCCACCTCAACCTCAATGGCTTTGTCGATTTTTGCCCCATGGTGCCTAAGCCGTTGTTTTACTGGCTTTCTGAGGGGATCGACGTTGAGTTTATGTTCTATAATACTGGGGTCGATCCCCGTCAACTCCTCGGGTGTGAAGGCGAATATATCCCTGAACTCCCTTAGTAATGCGATAAGTTGATCTTGCAGCTCGTCTTCCAGATCTTTCCCGACCTTAGTGGTCTGTTCCTTCGTTTCTCCAATCTGTATTTCCATTAACTCCCAGTGTGGTTCAAGATCGCTACTCCTTGGCCTCTTCTCGCTCGACATTGGCTTCTTCCCTTCTTTAACTTTGGCCCGTTGGTTGGTTTTCACAGCAATTTGATAACAAGTCCTCGACAGCTTTTGATCGTCTCGAGCTTCTCCCACTCGATCTCCGACTGGGAATTTCAATTTCATATGGTAAGTTGACACCACAGCCTGAAATGCATTAAGCGCTGGCCTTCCTAGGATCACATCGTAGGCCGAGTCGATATTGACTACCACGACTCTTACCATTTTTACCTTTCGTAAGTCGCCTTCCCATAGGACGACAACGAGCATAGTCTCTCCTAGGGGCGCGACCTCTGAACCATTGATATCGAACAACGAGGTATGGAGGGGTGTGAGTTGTATGTCGAGCTCCATCCTCTTGAGACAATCATCGAAGATCACATTCACTGAACTCCCGGTGTCGACAAATACTTTCTGCACTTCATATCCTGATACTTAGGCGGTTATCATTAATGCATCATTGTGAGGTCTCTCGACCTTTCCCACATTTGCTGGCCCAAAGTTCATTACTGGACCATTCTCGTCGACTTGCTGTACCTCGACTTTTCCATGGCGCCCTCGAGCATATGCCTTCCTTGCCCGATTTAAATCCCCATCAGTCGATCCACCAAATATCATGTGTATGACTCCCCTTTTCTTAGGAAGTTCCTCCTTCTCAGGCATTCTCGCCCTCTTGCGAGGGCTCCTGCTCCTTTCTCTCCTCCTGCTCGACTTCTCCCGATCCTTATATATGAATTCTTTCAAATGGCCCGCTTTTATCAACCTCTCAATCTCGTCTTTGAGGTGTCTGCAATCGTCGGTATTGTTCCCATAATCCTTATGAAATCGACAGTATATTTTAGGCTTCGTCGGTCCGTCATTCCTCGTCTTGGGCCATCTCACCACATTGTCGCGAATCTCCCTTTCCATGACTTCCAGAATCCTGGCTTGGGGAGCCGCTAGAGGAGTGTAATGAGTCGGCCTCCAACCCCTAGATCGCCCTTCTCTTTTTGCTCGTGGGGACCCCTTTCTTTCCCCAGTCGAAAAACTCTTCTTCTCCCTCCTCTCATCGCGAGAGTCAGCTTTACTCATTTAAATCGTTTGCAAGAAGTCGGCTTCTGCTTCCTCTACATTCATGTACTTCGCACATCTTTCCAGTACTTCATCGAATGTTCTACCCGGGCGCTTTGCCAAAGAATTTCTGCATAAGCCCGGTAGCAACCCTCGAGTCAATACTCCCGCCTTTATCTCCTCCGACGCCCTGGGCACCTCGACGCACGCCCGCGTGTATCTCGCCACATAGTCTCGTAGTGACTCGCCTTCTTTCTGTTGTATGCCCATCAAGGTTAGATACGACTTCTCTTGTGGTTTGACACTTGCAAATTGGTTGAGAAAGCTCGAACTGAATCCATTAAAGTCCTTGATGGCTCCCGATGGTAATTGATGAAACCAATCTTGCGCAGATCCCCTCAAGGTCGTCAGGAAAGCTCGACATTGCACTGGGTCATTATAGCGATGCAAAACCGCCATATTCTCAAAACTCTTGATATGACGAGATGGATCAGTCGACCCGTTATAACTTATGTTTAGACCACGGAAGCCCTGTGGCAAGTCGGTGTCCAGAATGTGTGTCCCCTTGAGCCTCCAGTTTTTTGTCTCTCGACTCGAGCCTGCAGATCGCGAACTTGGGCCAACAATTGTTCCAATGTCTCGTCCCTCGCTTGCGAGTTAACGGTCCTGATGGAAGATGCTTCCTCTTCCGCCCTCCTGATTTGCCTCTCATTAGATTGGGCATGTTGCTCACGATCATCGAGTGGTAGCTCAATCCTAGGTTGCTCAACCCTAGGGTGCTCGACCCTATGTTGCTCGACCCTAGGTTGCTCGGCTCTGGTTGCTCGACCCTAGGTTGCTCAACCTGCGCATGCTTGAGTTGGGTTGTCACCGCCTCTGCTATCATCCTCTGCATCTCACTACTCGTCATGGTTAAGGTTTTCTCCTCGACCTGGGGTGGTGGCCTCGCCCCTTGTTCCAATATTCCAGATTACATCCCCAGGGTCAAAGACATCTCAGTCAACTACTGCCCCTCGACTCCCATATCCGCACCCTTCGTCTGGCTAGATCCACTTTGTGTTAGAACTGGAACCTTCACCCCAGGTGGGGTGATGGGTGTTTTCTCCTCCAAACGCACTCCCGACTGCGCGTGTCCCCCAAACAGTGAGAAACCGAGCACCTGCAGTGGTGGTCTAGGGCCAGGATTCGACGACGGCCGTTTGTCTGTCCATGCTGCCCTGAAGTCCTCATTTAGATTTCTTGACAATCCCTCTTTCTCCGCCATGCCAAACAGATCGGAACTAGGTGCAAACCTCTTACTTCCTTCAAGAGTTCCCCATAGACGGTGCCAATTTGATGGGTCTTCTCCTAGATCTGGAGTGAACCGATAGAAATGAGCTCCAATCTGTTCAAATTGGATCCAAATCATCCTTGAAACGCTGCAAACACCTGCAAGAACTCAACACCGGAAGTGTTTCCGGTGAAGAGCCTCCGACGCTCAAGTCAGTGAAAGTGGTGAAGATGAGCTCTGCTCAATAGGAGCAGCAACTGGGAAATGAGTAGAGAATGAAAAGTTGGGGTTTGGAGTTACCTCAACCCCTTTATATAGGAGTAGAAACATTTACTTGAAGTACCTAAAATGCCCTGGCCGACTTACGCGAAGTGTCCAAAAAACCCTGGTCGGTTTGCATTCTGCTCACTCCTGAGTCAGCATGAAGATTCCTCCTTATCCTATGTTAGCTCGGTCTCGCTTAGAGATTTTCCCTGTGTTGTATCTAATTGTATCAAGTCGTCAGAGATCTCATAAGTCGGCTCTGGGTACCGCCAAGTCAACCTGAAGTCATATATGTATTGAGTGTAATTTGCTGTGCCCACTAGCGTTTTATGGAAGAAGTCGACTCTTCCCAAGTCGACTTGGGAAAATCTTCTCAGAATCGTTGTCGGGTAGATAGCAACCCTCGAATGGCTATTGGGTCAAGTCGACTTTCGGAGATGTCGAATTAATGATATCGGCAGCAGTATTTATGCTAGTCGAGTAACTAGCACTTGAACCAGACTATGGTAATAGGGCTATATCATAGTCAGATTGTGGGATCAACCCTAGATGCAAGAACTCAACAAAAAGACTCCCATAGGTTCAGTTCCTAGAAATCCAAATCTCATATGGGTAAGTGATCCCATTGATGACACTGGGAGATGTTGGAACAAAAGGTTAGTGGAAAGTCAATTCTTACCAGAGGAAGTTGCTGCTATTCTAAACATGAAAGGGTTGGATCCTGACCTTCATGATTCACTGCAGTGGGCTGGGAACTCTCAAAGGAAATTCATAGTAGCAGCCACTTACAAAACACTCCTTGAGCAGAAATGAAGGTAGTTGGGTATAGCAGACTCTAGCAAGAACCACAGAGGTCTCAGACAGGCCAGGATGAGAACTTGGATCTTAAAGATGAAAAGGAAATATGGAGAGGGTTAAATAACATCTTGCCAGTGCTGGTTAACTTAAACTCAAGGGGCTCCAATTTGGACCACATTTGCAGATTCTGAGGAGAAATGGAAGAATTGTTAGTGTTATATACTGAAAACTTGGCTTTGGATGATATTACACTTTTACCCTTTACGAATGAGAATCATGTTAGATTAAACAAGTTCTATGTTCTGTTGTTTTGCACTTAGATAGAATGGGTCGTCACCGGGCAAACCGAAGATCATTTAATCAGTTACTTGAGGAAAAAAAATTGTGGTTCACAACCTAGATAGAAATGAACACCCCATCGGAACCGTTGTAGTGTCAACGGTACAGTTTGTCTTGACTGATTAATTACACTAGTACATTTTTGTATTGAACATGACCCCAGAGAGGATAAGATCGTTTTATACTGATCGTCGTAAACGAACTAGGCCTCAGTTAATTACTACATTCTCTTAACTCGTAAGATATTAAATAGACATTTATATGCAGTATATATTATTTTGATTCACTTGGGTGAGGTTCAGTTTGCTGAATTAATATTCCTATTTTCTTGGGTAATATTAATGTATATATGATGTCCTATTAGGATATTTACGGTCACAATGTATGTTTAGATTGATGATGTCCCCGAAGTGAGTTCATGAAGGATTATTATGATAAACCCTGCTGGTGGATTAAATTCCGGCATATTAATAATGTGATGAACGAGCGCTAGCTTCGGTGAAATAATAATATATTAGTTAATGGACATTGATTAATCAGTAATCGAATTAATTAATGGACATTATATCTTAAACATGAGGAGGGAATTTGGGTAATTATTATTGGAGTCTCAATTGTAAATTGGGCTAGGAAAAGGGAGTGCAATAATATTATGTTAGTGGCCTGTAATATATTAATTAGAGGAGTGGGATTGGCCCGCAGTTGGTCTAATTAATTAAGAATCCTATTCCTAATATTGTAAGGGTCCCTACTGTAGCTCTATATATACACCATTAGGCTCATGGAAAAGAGAAGAAGAGATCAGATTTCTCCTAGGTGATACATAATTCGCGCGCCTCCCCTCTCTCTCTCTATAGGTTTCTGTTCGAGCTTTATCTTCTTCTTGCTGCTCCATCGATACAAGTTGAAGAGGTGTAAGAGTAATACAGTAGAAGATCCCAAGATAATTGAGATATATATATTCATCAACTCCGGTGATCAACCGGAGCCGACGAGTCACGACCCGAAGCCGCAACCCGCCAGCCCCGCCGGGGCACCGATCGCGACCCAGCTGGAGCCCACCCAACGCCGCGACGCGCCTCGCAGAGCCGCGGCCAAGAGCGCTACAACCCATGGTGTTGTGTACAAAATTGTTATTTTTACCGAGTACCGAATCGAAAGATTCGTTCCACGGGTCGATCTCACGAGGAAGGCGGTTCGGAATTCTGCTTTGGTATCGATCACACATAAAAATAAAATAAGTCCTAAACACTCTAATCACGATTGATTTGGGAAATAAACTAAAACTAACTTGAACTAGAAAAGCAAATAAATGAAATAACAATTAAATTGCTAGAGAATTAGAAGAAGTTCTAGGGGTCGGGAAGTCTCATCAATTCCTAAACTATGTTGAACGCTTATTTTCTTGGTTACATGATTCGACAAGCCTACACATCTAGAGGTTTATGCTCAATAACTTTTCGTAACAAGAACACACACATAAATGACAAACTCATTCAATCAAGCAACTCATAAACAATAATTTTACGAACATGTCTACTCTATAAGAGCCTAAATAGATCAACTCGTCCTAGTTCGGTTCTAAAAGTTGACTAATTTAGACTAGAAGGTGGTTAATCAACTAGTCTATTGGAATGAACATCATCAAACTCGAATGAATCATATCCAATTGGAAAATATATGCAAATTGAAGTGTCACTCTTCAACATCATTCAACATTCAAGAATGAGAATTGGAAACCCTTTTTAAAGCAACTCACATAGATTGAACAAAACACATTCAACACAATTCAAAACAAGTATCAAAATCCCTAACCCTAGGTGAATGGATTACCTCATTCTTGGATTCAATACCATGTTAATCAAATTGAAGAACATAAACTCAATCAACAATAATATAATAGAATTGAAAACTTACAATCGGATTAAGACTTGTAAGAGTTCGATCCTAATGTCTTTGTTTCCAACAATCCAAGCATGGGAGAAAAAGAAAAATAGAGAAATAATTCTAGAAACTATTTACAAACCGATTCTTGGAGTGTCACACTCCAAGATCGAATCAAGATGAAAAAAGAACTGAAAAGAGGAGCTATGGAGGTGTTTTTCAATATTGGGAACGAGTCCCAATAAAAGTACTAAAAAAATAGAGCAAAACAGGTTTTAAAAATTTTGGTCGTGACCTCCGCAGCCGCGGGGAGCTCAGTTGCCGCGACCTTTCAGCCGCAGAAGTGCTCCGCGGCCGCGGGATTCCTCCGCTGCCGGCGGTGAACAAAATTTGGCTGTTGCGCGCGGCTTTACGTTTCGGGCTTGTCTGAGCTCGTCTGAACTCGGAATTGAGTACGTGTCGCCAACGAAACCTTCTAGTTGATTATGCTTTACCAACCAATATTTTCCTGAAATTATATTCTCCCAAAGCTTCTGAACTACACACCAAATACGTGCTTCGCGCGACTTCGCGTTTTGTGTTAGTTTGAGCTCGCCCGAACTCAGAATCGAGTTCCGCTTTTTCCTGTGTGTTGTGACGAAACACTCTCTTTAATAATATTAACCCAGTCCATGTATCATGAAAAATAAATCCTCTCGGATCCTCCAAACTGCACACTGAAGACGAAGAAAAACAAAAAAATACACGAGAAACACAAAGAAAACCAAAATAGAGCAAAACACACAATAAACTACAAAACAAACTAAAAACCATCTAAAAGACCTAATATGGGGGGAAAAGAAATGAAAAATAACAAGGAAAAATGCAACAAAAATGGAAAAAACAACTCCCCACACATAAACTTTTGTTTGTCCCGAACAAAAAGAAAAGAAAACAAGACATGAGCATGGTTTCAGTTTCAAACAAGAAGAGCCTCAAAATGCCCAACTCAATTGAGTCGAATTCCAGC